GACGACGATCCAGAATATTTATTCTGAACACAATGAACGGAAACCAATTGCTCCTTTAAATGTACTGTGCAAGGTTACTAGGAATAAGAGAGGCAACAGAGGACCTGATATCCCTTGAATAAGTCTTTTAAGTCAAGTGAGACCTATGTATCTGTTATTACCAGACTTTGTTTTTTTTTCTAGATTTTTTTTTATGCAACAATCAATATGTTGTTTGTGCTGTAATTAGACCCCTCTACCAAGAAATTTGTTTTGAATGCACACGTATGAAAATTGTGGTTTTTATCCAAAGCAATCATAGGTTTGAACGTTGTTTTCAATTTAGACTTGTTTATATTTTTTCGTTTGGGCTTGTATTATATTTGCCTTCGGGTTTATATGATCCGTTCATCCTATATCCACTCTTCAGAATTCAAGAGTCTATCCTAAATTGTATATGGCCTTCCAAATACCGTTTCGATTCCTAACATCACTGAAGAGAGATTAATTGTCGAAATCCGGATATGGTGTACTAATTTTTTCAACTTTTGTTTGCGGTATACCATCTTTTCCGCAAGTTTATTGTTTTCTGTTTGGTATTAAATTAATAGTTAAGATTCATTTTGTTACATCTGATGATCCGTTTATTTGGCAATCGCCAATTGCAGACAGCAGGGTTTAAGAACATCCGTTGTTCGACCTGCTAGTCAAATGCATTTTGTTAAAATATACTTTTTCACTTTTTTGGTCTTTTGGAAAATGTTGTTTGTGATGTATTTAGATGCTTCTACCAAGAAATTTGTTTTGCATGCACACGTATAGAAATTGCGGTTTTTATCCAACGCAATCATACTAGGTTTGAACGTTGTTTTCAATTTAGATGTGTTTATATTTTTCGTTTGGGCTTGTTTTATATTTGACTTCGGGTTTACATGATCCGTTCATCCTATTTCGACTCTTCAAAATTCAAGAATCTATCCTAAATTGAGGTAAATTATATGACCTTCCAAATACCGTTTCGATTCCTATCATCACTGAAGAGAGATTAATAGTCGAAATCCGGATATGGTGTACTAATTCGTGCACATTATGTTTGCGGTATACCATCTTTTCCGCAAGTTTATTGTTTTCTGTTTGGTATTAAACTAATAGTTAAGATCCATTTTGTTACATCTGGTGATCCGTTTATTTGGCAATCGCCAATGACAGTCCGCAGGGTTTAAGAACATCCGTTGTTCGACCTGCTAGTCAAATGCGTTTTGTTAAAATATACTTTTTCACTTTTTTGGTCTTTTGGAAAATGTTATTTGTGCTGTATTTAGACCCCTCTACCAAAACATTTGTTTTGCATGCACACGTATAAAAATTGCGGGTTTTGTCCAACGCAATCATAGGTTTGAATTTTCTTGGTGAAATTTGTTGTTTCGAACAAATACTTGCACAAATAAAAAAAATTGCGATGTTTTGGTGGACAACAAAGCTTGAGCCAAACTATATAGGGTGAATTTATTTGGGTAAGTAAAACAGGTGCGGGCCAAAAGTAGCTAGGAAATTCAGATATATATATTATGCTTCATTTTTTCATGTTCTATGTTTACGTGTTGCGTCTAGTTTTCCATTTGCAGGGTTACTAATAAGGAAGACATAAGACAATTTCGACAAAATAAGACTGTCTTAGATATATTACAAGCTTTTTTTCAATTTCCATATTTGTCTTTGTGCTTGATTTTCAGTATATAATAGATGAAGTAAGGATCGACTTCAGTGTACAGATTATACTGCAATTACGATTTCAATTAAGTTTAACATCAATATTCAATTATACAAATAAAAGAGATACATATTCACGCCTGAGAATATTACTAATGTCAACCATATCTGCAGCACGACAAAACCTTCTGTAGTTCTTTATTGCGATCAGCGAAAACGACTGGCGGAAGAAACCAAAGGCATATTCAAACTCAGAAGTCGAAGACAATCTGACAACACCATGACAATAAAACGGTGAAAAGACACGCAACATTCCACTAAACGCAACTCAGAAAACTTAAGGCTGAGCAACACGAATCTCACAAAAAACGGGAGTGATCTCCGGTACTCTGGAAGGTTAAGCAAATGTTGCTCAATCTGTGCTCCCCGTCGTGTTGATCCATGTACGTACAAATTCGGTTATGTTACATTTGAGGAAAAAAGGACGGGATTGTAGTAACGACAAATGGAACATATTGGTCGTCTTCTCTAAAAACAGATATTCATTAACGGTCAAGCAAATCGTGATGCCGGCCATTCAAATTTTTTAAATGATTACTTCAACCTTAACCACTAGGTGCCTTTTGTTTATTAGCTTCCTTATAAGCAGCAACCTTCTAAGCTGAATGTGTGAGCAACAATTATTATATGTTAATTGTGAATGTGGTTAATAATATTATTTGTAAGAAACAAACAAAGTTTTGTGTACACGAAAAGCTGCATGTGACGAAGGTTTCCTATCCTGTCATGACAAGTAGTTTCTAGGTGTCAGACCACTTATTCAAAATACCTATATATTCAACCAAACTTGCAATTTTCAATTTTCACAGCTTTCTAAATCGTTTACCTTAAGGTCAACTTCATAGTATATCCTGAAATGTAAATGAATCACCTTTCTACATGCCAATTTTCAACCAATAATCAAAGTCGTGTAGCGAAATAATTTTTAAATAACGTTCGGAAGACAAGTACTGCTAAAACCCCTGGTTTTCTGGAAATCTAAAATAAGTATTCTATGGAGCGCATTAATCCTCAATTTCATGGACAAGTAAATTTTGGTCCAAAATGGTCTACATATATTTCTCTTTCAACAAAAGTTTCATTTCTGCAAAATGTATTGGTTAGTTTAAGTAAACAATGACATCAAAAGCACTATTTTATGTCAGGGAAGGGTTACTTTTACATACGTTCTAAATTGGAGTGGGTGAATTGGTGGTCTGACACCTGTATTCCACTGATTGCTCATGGTGTGTAGCTCATATAGAGGATTGGTGACAGTTAACATACAAATTTGTTATAATTGGTGATAGCTATATACGAAAAACAAAGATGGGATTGTAGCTACAACAAAGTCAACGTGAACTTATCTATGGTCATCTGCGATGCAATCTTTCGCAATCCACGATGAGGCCCGTAATTATTTCAGCGCATACAAGCTTCATCATAAAAATATCAAAAATTCAACCAGATTTCTCTTTAAATACCAATTGATTGCATAAAACTAATTTTGTGGCAACGTATCATAGCTGTAACCCATTCAGACACAAAATCGTTCGCATTTTGATATTGTCGTACATAATTATCGACAATCTGCTAGAATTTAAAAGCTGTGATTCTAATACAATGAATCACGGTGTTTCAGACCTTTGGATACCAAATTACGCAGTCAAATGTGTAAACAACATTATGATCAGCGGGCATGGTGTATATACACTGCTACTTTTGCATAGGTACTATTTCTGTACCAAAAATCTATACTACTGGAAATTTACTTTTAATATTAAGTACTATTTCTTTACTTTAAAATTCTTGTAATATTTAGGTACCTGTATTTTATAGTACTTGATTTGTACTTGAAATTTTTGGTACAGAAGTAATACCAACAGTGACAACAATATTCCATGTTTGAAAATCATAACTTTAAGAGATTTGAAATAGACAAACTTTCAAAATGCTGAAAATGTAACGGTGTAACCAAAATTTTGTAGTACTTAAATTTCAAGTACATATCAAGTACTGTAAAATACAGGTACCTAAATATTACAATAATTTTTAAGTAACAAAATTGTACTAAATATTAAAAGTAGATTTCCAGTACTATAGATTTTTGGTACAGAAATAGTACCTATGCAAAAGTAGCTGTGTACACAAATCATGGTGTATTTATTGAGAAGTCGACGTATTCTTCGTATTTTTGCATCGATTTACAGTCAATACGAACTCGGGTGTATTTTGCGATTCTTGAAGGTTCCGTTTGACAATATGGCTCATTCAAACGTGTATAAATCCCTGACTTTCTATGTTTTGTTCGAGCGATCTAATAAATATAAATCCAATAAAGCGTCTCTGTTTCGTCAAATTGATAAAGTTATATTTTCTAATAATAGGTACACATGATAAAAAAAAATAAGATACAGCATAATTACAAATGCCACAACTCTCCAATAGAGACCAATTTGCGCAAAAGTTATTATAGGTTACCGTACGGCATTCAATACTAAACAAAACATCTACTGCATAGCAAGCTATATAGGCCCCGGAATACCAATCCAAACAAGAAAACTAACGGTCTGATCTATGTATTAGACAGTAAAACGAAAAACAAATACTATTACTAAGTATGATAAACAGCAACAAATGACAACCACTGAATTACAGGTTTCGGACTTGGGACAGGCATATACAGAATGTGGCATGGTTAAACATATTTGCGGGCGCCCAACCCTCTTCCTAATCAGGAAAGGAGTGTAACAACACAACATAAGACAAATCTATAACAATCAGTTGAAAAGGGCGTTACTCATCAGTGCGATAAAAAGCACATAAACTAAAAACGACTGACACAAACAATAAAGACTCAAAATATAGATCTGAGAGTACTTGAAGATACCGAAAGCTAGTTCAATTGACAACGTACAAAACATCACGTGTCTAAGACTAAAATATCAATCAATACACATCTGATTCGCAATATAAAAATACTAGTACCGAAAGATTGCAGGACCGTGAATCTTCATACGTGTACTGGAATACTATTTACTATTAGTTGATTTTGAATTATTAAAATAATAATCAAATATCTAACTCAAGCGTTAAATTGGTAACCTTTTATATAAGGTTAATTTAATGGATCGAATAGTTAACCCGGTTTGTATTTACAAGACCAGTAAGAAAGTATCTTGCATGTTTTTAAGTTTCAGTTTGATTTGTGTTTTTACCAAAATTTATCTGCCGTCTCATTCTAAAAATATGATAAAATACCTGACACAAAAAATTGTGACAAACTTTATCTATAATATGAATACAATACAATACCATTAGATACATTTTAATCTTTAATGAGATTTTTTAAGAGTTTGTTCTTCAAAGTAGGTTCATCTAGATTTTAAAGGAATGGAATTTATTCAACAATTCTATAAAATGCTTGTTATGTACTTCTCTTTATAGGTGGTAATTTTACAACCTGTGCTGCTGATATACCCGGTCTTGGCACATATCTAGATGATCTTTCTGACATTACAAGTGTTGGTTCAGACTCTAGCATAATTGGAACAGGTGTAGATGATGTTTCTGAACCTACAAGTGTTAGTTCAGACTCAAGCGTTATTGGAGCATATGAAGTTCCTGACGGTATAATTGCTTGTCCAGACACTAGATTGATTAGTGTATCAACTTTGTTGTTAAGGCCGTCCACCTTTTGTTCCATTCGAATACTCTGTATACGCATAACATCAGTTTTTTCTTCAAGGCTTTGTACTTGTGCTTTTGATGCCGCAATATCTTCCTGTAGTAGTGTATTTTCTCTGACTAAATCCCTACTATCAATCGTTGCTATTCTTTCTTCGATTCGTTTCAGCTCTTTCTTTGTTTGATTTAGTTCTTTACATTTTTCTGCGTAAATTTCATCCTTTCTGTGCATAAGTTTTAAACTATTGGCTTGTTCTCTAATCCTTAAATTCAGCGCCTCTCTTTCGCGCTGAAGCCTATCGTTGAAACATTGTAATTGTCTAATGTTCTGTCTCGCTTCTTGTAAATCTGATTCCATCTGTGCATTGATTGGTTCTATTTCTTCTTGAATGCTGACCTACAACATAAGGAACACGTATATACATTGGAAATTATTAATTAAAGTTCCATTACCAATCTAAAAAGTTGCAGTTCATTGACAGTTCAACTCAGAACACGTAAAATGAATAGGACACATCCTAAAAGTGCTTTGAGAAAAAAGAACTTTGTGAACTATTCGAATAATCGTACCACATGACCTTCACACTTACGTCTCTGTTTCGACTTCATTCGTGTTTGATAGGATACATGCAATTAACATACTAGGTTATACGAACATTGAAGTTGGAATCGTTGGAATTCATATTTATCTTACGGAATGTTGTGATACTCTTTGTGACTTCCGACGTCTTTTTATTTTTTGTCAAATTGACTGTAGTTGACAAGAGGTTTTATTTTTCACATTTACCTAATTTGACATCACAGATGTCTTCTCATTATTTGTGTTGTTGTTTTGCTGTCTAATTTACCGATACCCCACATCTTATTTAATGCATATCTATTAGTATCTTAGAATGGAATGTAACAGTTTAAAATGACGCTGATTCTCTAACCAAAAATAATCATCGATTCAAAATCTAACATTATGTATTTTCTTCGTCGTGAATATAAAAGTAAATTACAGTCCTCAGTAGACAATTCAGGTGTTCTTGAAATTTTGTTCAAATACACTCATCACCAAATTTAATTTATTCGTCTTGTTTAACGAAATTGTAAACTTTATAGTGACATTGGCTACCTGATTATACGGTTAGATTATTATTTATTGACGAGAAAGGAGAAGGTATGTTATGTTCTACTTCCCTATGCTCGCACAAACATAAAGATTGTCTTAATAATGCGTAAATAAAACAAAAAGCAATGTGAAATGAGAAATTGCACTGATTAGTTTAATGATAAATCATGAAAATTCAGTAAATCATTGTCTCCAAAGCTCCGAATAGATGGTAATAAATCTACAAATACAAAAATGTTCAATCAGAAAAGAAATAATTCTATTGAATAACATATCATGAAATCAAAATATACGTGTCGATCTGATCAGTGAATTTTTCTCGGCGAGAGAAAGGCGCAAAATCGAAAGATATATATGTAAGGAAACCGTATTACTCTAAGCGTATGCAAATACTTATACGCCAAATTAAGAAAAAATAATTTTATGTTCTACTTTGCTATGCTCACACGCTCATAAAGATTGTCTTAATGATGCGTAAATAAAACAAAAAGCAATGTGGGATGAGAAATTGCACTGATTAGTTTTGACAAAAACAAAGGAAGGTAGGATCTTCTAATCACAAAACTATAATCCCAAATTTTGAGAAATTTTAAGTCTATTGTCTATATTTTCTTTAATGTAACCATCTTAAGCCTTGTCTGTCTTCCATCTACCGTGAGCTTTCAAAAGCCTCTTCGGGTAAGAATTACTAGAAGCTGCTGTAGCGCCCCCGCTCCTTAAACTATGTAGGCCAAACAGAGTTCTATCTAAACCTATGTCAGAAAGTGCATCTAAAATAATTTCCCTAGCTCAAGTGTAAGATAAAAACCTTTTCTTGCAGGCTAGTTTGTGCTTATTAATAGACTTGAAATACGACAAAGCTCTAAAGATGTATTCGGCGCTTTCAAAGGGCAAACTTGCAGCGCGAAATAATTCTGTAGCATAGAAACTGGACAAAGATCTGTGTCCGTTCTAGAAATTAAATAATATCACCCTGTCGATTTCTATCCGTCTTACTTTTTTGAATGTTAATTTGTAGATGAGAATCGTTGAATGTTAAATCAGAAGAACAGATGTGTTCCAACTCATCGTAACTTAAAATCCAGGAAATACATAACAGCATCATAGAACAGATTCTCAACCCTGGTAAATTGTCGTTTTTGCCGAATTTGGCAAGGATACTCTTCAAAATCGTAGGAGTAATGGGTTCTTTCCTTTTCACACGGCTTATATAACAATCGCATGCCACCTTCTACTACCATGTCTAGTAATTTGTCATTTAATATACTGTTATATAAATTGAGATCGTGTTCCCACCTAACTGAATAGTACGCTGTGTTTAAGAAACTGTGATAGCGATAATTTGTGTATATTGTGCATCTTCATTTGGAACTATTTATAAAGAGTATTTTTCTTAAATCTGATATTTTTTAACTTTCACTGTGCACAAGAGGGCCCAAACGGGCTTATCTCTATATAATGTATCACCAAACTCCAATGTTGATTATGCCCAACCAGGACTTGTCGCTAAACAAAATCTTATATGTTATGCCCAAACGGGAGTTGTCGCAAAATAAACACAAACAATAATAATAATACCCAAACGGGACTTGTCACAAAATAAACTTAATATATTAAAACCCAAATGGGATTTGCTGCAAAATTAATTCAAGAAAAGTAGCTCCCAAACGGAACTTTTCGCCAAATAAACTCTAGGAATAATAGTTTCCAACTGGGACTTGTCACATACTAAACTTCGATAACAATAAAGCCCGAACTTATCGCAAACTAAACTAAGCAAGAACAGTAATGTCAACTGCGAATAAAAGCCCTGTTCATTGATAATTTTCTTTGTTTTCTATATATTGTGTGCGATTTTGTCCCATGTACATTTACTCCATATCCTTTTATTTTCTACAAATACTAGTAATACTTGTTATAAGAAAAAAGTGTTTTTTTTATATAGCAGTTCAGAACTTGATGACACAAATAATATAGAAAAAAAGGAAATAATTGATAATGAAGAAGGTAAAAGTAAAATTAAAATATAAGAAGGAAAAATAATAATTAAGAAAAGAACAAATGCACATAGAGTAAAATACTTACTGATTTAAATACAATCGATCTTTAATACGAGAACATTGAAAGTTAAAGGAGAATGGATAAAAATGCTGTTTCTATCCGAACCTTGACAAAAAAAATCCAGATGGTTTAACGTACTATAAACAAGTTGAAATCATCCCTTCGTAAGTTTTAGGGACGCCATGACGAGTTTGTTGACCGTTATGGAATATCCGTTTCAAAGATGATAGCGGATGTGTTCCTCATGTCGTAATCTACAATCCCGTCCCTGTTTCCCGAATGTGATCTCCCGAATTAAACTATATCTGGTTTGTTCTAACATGAGCAACACGACGGCTGCCACATGCGGAGCAGGATCTGCTTACCATTCCGGATCAACTGAGATCACCCCCAGTTTATGGTAGGGTTCGTGTTGTTCAGTCTTAGTTTTCAATGTTGTGTTTTGTGTACTATTGTTTGTCTGTTGGTCTTTTTCTTTTTTAGCCCTGGCGTTGTCAGTTTATTTTCGACTTATGAGTTTGAATGTCCCTCTGGTATCTTTCGCCTCTCTTTTACAACCAATGGGTCGATGTCTCTGTTGATGGACATTTTGACTCCGAGGGTTGTTGTCCCCGCAGATAAAGCCCCTAACAACATCGTTTTTGTGTGTAAATCACATTACATAAACTGCTTGATAAATTAATTAGGTATTGACAATTCAGTTGGAAACTCAATATATACCCCACGACACTTACTAAAGAGGAAATCCTGGATAATCATAGGTCTGTTCTATGTTCCTTTGGAATTTCAACCAAAGATGAAGAACTGGATCTTCCGTCACTGTATTGATACCTAAACTACATAAGTGTCCTTACATACAACGGTATATTGCTGGGTCTTCCAAGTGCTCCACGAAACCTCTTTCTAAATTATTAACATTAATTTTATCAGCAATCAAAGCCGGGCTTCAAAGTTATTGTGAAACTACCTATTCTAGAGGTGGCGTGAATCAGATGTGGATACTAAAAAAATCCAAAGATCTTTAATGTACATACAATCTAAGACTCTTTCATCTTGCAATAGTATTAAAACATTTGATTTTTCTACACTTTAAACAAGTATTCCCCATTCCAAACTAAAAGACAAATTGAAAGAATTAGTTCTGTTTTGTTTCATTAAAATAGAAAGGCCAACGTAGATACACGTATCTTGTCTTAGGGAGGGATAAATACTACTTTGTAAAAAATCACTTTGCTTCAAACAAACAATTCTCTGAAACTGACATTATCAAGATGCTTGATAAATCTTTTCATAACTTTGATAGGTTTCTCAATCTACAAATCATTCTACACTTCAGAACAAAAAACAAAATCTGCCAACATATACAATATTTTCAAAAACGAATTTGAATCATACTTTGAAGTAAACAGACACATGAAAGAACGTCAAAGAAATCTTATTCGTAAATTTCTGCAAATTATGCTAGATTAATATATATGTTAGCGGCAATAAGTGAAATTAGGCATTAAGCTAAAATCCTAGGCAATAAGCTTCCACCTAGGCAGTAAGTCTATTGCCTAAATAATGTTAGGCATTACTCTTAAATCCTAGGATTTAAACTTAAATCCTGAAAATAATGTCCAGGCATTAATGTTAATGCCTAAAATGAAAATGAGAGAAACTAAAAGGAAATTTATTCAAAGTTAAAATACATTTTGTACGTAATAAAATAATAAGAACTTTGAATGTCATTTACATGAAATAAAATCATAATTAGATATTGATGTTAAACCGCTTTGAATAAACCTCTTAAAATATATGTAAACTTGTTGGATAGTTGTCTAATTGGCAATCGTACTACATCTCCTTGTTTTTATATTGATAGAAAATTGTATTGAAATTTATTTGTTACAAATTGGTGCGGGGCTATGGCACAGACTATTTCACATTTTTAATTTTTTCGAGCATTGCTACCTGGTGATCGGCCAAAACCTTTGTGTAGAGCAGAATTCTTTTATATATGAATGAATTTGATTCCAATTGACCATTGTTAAGTCTTTGATTCTCAACCATGCAGTAAGCATGTCATGAATATTTCTGTTTGACCACTCAATACTACCCTGTGATTGGAGATGTATTGGCTTCCCGTGAACAATAACTAGTTCTGGCCACATTAACATTAATTTATATATAACCTTAGCTGTAAATTCAAGACCTTTGTCACTTTGCTGTTTATGTGGCACACCAAATATTGTGAAAACGTAAATTAAATTAGAAGCCACCTTTGAAGCACTTTTTGACGTAAGAGCTCTAGTAATAAAACTAGGTGATCTTGGTACACCATAACGAAAATATAGTTTTCATCTTACTTTGATTGGAAATCGATTAAATCAACCTGTCCTCTTCTATAAAACAATTTGGATAAAACAGGGTTTACTACTACTCCCTTCACTATGCACATTTTATCATGTTACAATTTTCACAAAATTGAAGAAATAGTACAATGGAAGCCTGGAAAATGTTTGCAAAGCCATTATTAGGTTGTTTAATTCTACGGTCTATGACAATAATAGGCCGCTTTGACATATTTCTTTATGTGTTTTTCCCAAAATAGCATACAGTTCCTCTAGAAAAAACATTAACTTTGAAATTTCCCTCATCATTCTCTTTTACTTTAGTTACCAGTCTTTCAAACCTCCAGTGGTAAAAAAATGTCATACAATTTTAAATTGCAATTTTCTATAGTTGCCTTATTTTCTGATTTTGAAAGTTTAATCTTTGCCAAATGATCATTGTACTTTTGCCTTGGGTATATGATCTTTGTTTTCCCTGATTCAAATTTATATTCCGCAAAGATTCAAGAAATTTGTTGTTGCTTCAATGCTGATAAGCCAGATTAAGAAGTGAAGAGACAAGATGAGTATTTAAGAAAATTTACATATCCAATAAAACAGATGGAAAGATGATGTGAATTGCAAAACTTCATATGTTCAGTTGTCTATTTTTGACCAGCTCAAACCGGCTTGACCATTAAAGAGCAATAACATAAAGAAATACGAGTAAGTTCTGATTTGAATACGAAAAATTACTAAAAATTGAAGATCTTTTAAATCAGTTTATATTAATTTCTGGAATGTAATTTTTACAAAATGGTATTTGGAAGATAAACACAAATCCCAAAATTTGCTTATTGCCTGAAATGATGTTTGGCAATAGGTTGAATAATCATCATCAGATTTCAGGAAAGAAGCCTAATGCATGGAAATTTCAGGCAATAACTTAATGCCTAGGCTTTAGCTTTTTGCATAGGATTTAAGCTTAATGCCTAATTTCACCTTTTGCTGCTAACATATATATATACCATCTTTTCCGCAAGTTTATTGTTTTCTGTTTGGTATTTAATTAATAAATTAAGATCCATTTTTACATCTGGTGATCCGTTTTTTTAGTAATCGCCATGGCAGTCAGCAGGGTTTAAGAACATCCGTTGTTCGACCTGCTAGTCAAATGCGTTTTGTTAAAATATCCTTTTTCACTCTTTTTGGCGTTTGGAAAATGTTGTTTGTGCTGTATTTAGACCACTCTACCAAGAAATTTGTTTTGCATGCACACGTATAAAAATTGCGGTTTTTATCCAACGCAATCATAGGTTTGAACGTTGTTTTCAATTTAGACTTGTTTATATTTTTTCGTTTGGGCTTGTATTATATTTGCCTTCGGGTTTATATGATCCGTTCATCCTATTTTGACTCTTCAAAATTTAAGAGTCAATCCCAAATTGAGGTAAATTATATGGCCTTCCAAATACCGTTTCGATTCCTAACATCACTGAAGAGACATTAATTGTCGAAATCCGGATATGGTGTACAAATTTTTGCACCTCATGTTTGCGGTATACCATCTTTTCCGCAAGTTTATTGTTTTCTGTTTGGTATTTAATTAATAAATTAAGATCCATTTTTACATCTGGTGATCCGTTTTTTTGGCAATCGCCATGGCAGTCAGCAGGGTTTAAGAACATCCGTTGTTCGACCTGCTAGTCAAATGCGTTTTGTTAAAATATACTTTTTCACTCTTTTTGGTCTTTTGGAAAATGTTGTTTGTGCTGTATTTAGACCACTCTACCAAGAAATTTGTTTTGCATGCACACGTATAAAAATTGCGGTTTTTATCCAACGCAATCATAGGTTTGAACGTTGTTTTCAATTTAGACTTGTTTATATTTTTTCGTTTGGGCTTGTATTATATTTGCCTTCGGGTTTATATGATCCGTTCATCCTATTTTGACTCTTCAAAATTTAAGAGTCAATCCAAAATTGAGGTAAATTATATGGCCTTCCAAATACCGTTTCGATTCCTAACATCACTGAAGAGACATTAATTGTCGAAATCCGGATATGGTGTACAAATTTTTGCACCTCATGTTTGCGGTATACCATCTTTTCCGCAAGTTTATTGTTTTCTGTTTGGTATTTAATTAATAAATTAAGATCCATTTTTACATCTGGTGATCCGTTTTTTTAGTAATCGCCATGGCAGTCAGCAGGGTTTAAGAACATCCGTTGTTCGACCTGCTAGTCAAATGCGTTTTGTTAAAATATACTTTTTCACTCTTTTTGGTCTTTTGGAAAATGTTGTTTGTGCTGTATTTAGACCACTCTACCAAGAAATTTGTTTTGCATGCACACGTATAAAAATTGCGGTTTTTATCCAACGCAATCATAGGTTTGAACGTTGTTTTCAATTTAGACTTGTTTATATTTTTTCGTTTGGGCTTGTATTATATTTGCCTTCGGGTTTATATGATCCGTTCATCCTATTTTGACTCTTCAAAATTTAAGAGTCAATCCCAAATTGAGGTAAATTATATGGCCTTCCAAATACCGTTTCGATTCCTAACATCACTGAAGAGACATTAATTGTCGAAATCCGGATATGGTGTACAAATTTTTGCACCTCATGTTTGCGGTATACCATCTTTTCCGCAAGTTTATTGTTTTCTGTTTGGTATTTAATTAATAAATTAAGATCCATTTTTACATCTGGTGATCCGTTTTTTTGGCAATCGCCATGGCAGTCAGCAGGGTTTAAGAACATCCGTTGTTCGACCTGCTAGTCAAATGCGTTTTGTTAAAATATACTTTTTCACTCTTTTTGGTCTTTTGGAAAATGTTGTTTGTGCTGTATTTAGACCACTCTACCAAGAAATTTGTTTTGCATGCACACGTATAAAAATTGCGGTTTTTATCCAACGCAATCATAGGTTTGAACGTTGTTTTCAATTTAGACTTGTTTATATTTTTTCGTTTGGGCTTGTATTATATTTGCCTTCGGGTTTATATGATCCGTTCATCCTATTTTGACTCTTCAAAATTTAAGAGTCAATCCCAAATTGAGGTAAATTATATGGCCTTCCAAATACCGTTTCGATTCCTAACATCACTGAAGAGACATTAATTGTCGAAATCCGGATATGGTGTACAAATTTTTGCACCTCATGTTTGCGGTATACCATCTTTTCCGCAAGTTTATTGTTTTCTGTTTGGTATTTAATTAATAAATTAAGATCCATTTTTACATCTGGTGATCCGTTTTTTTGGCAATCGCCATGGCAGTCAGCAGGGTTTAAGAACATCCGTTGTTCGACCTGCTAGTCAAATGCGTTTTGTTAAAATATACTTTTTCACTCTTTTTGGTCTTTTGGAAAATGTTGTTTGTGCTGTATTTAGACCACTCTACCAAGAAATTTGTTTTGCATGCACACGTATAAAAATTGCGGTTTTTATCCAACGCAATCATAGGTTTGAACGTTGTTTTCAATTTAGACTTGTTTATATTTTTTCGTTTGGGCTTGTATTATATTTGCCTTCGGGTTTATATGATCCGTTCATCCTATTTTGACTCTTCAAAATTTAAGAGTCAATCCCAAATTGAGGTAAATTATATGGCCTTCCAAATACCGTTTCGATTCCTAACATCACTGAAGAGACATTAATTGTCGAAATCCGGATATGGTGTACAAATTTTTGCACCTCATGTTTGCGGTATACCATCTTTTCCGCAAGTTTATTGTTTTCTGTTTGGTATTTAATTAATAAATTAAGATCCATTTTTACATCTGGTGATCCGTTTTTTTGGCAATCGCCATGGCAGTCAGCAGGGTTTAAGAACATCCGTTGTTCGACCTGCTAGTCAAATGCGTTTTGTTAAAATATCCTTTTTCACTCTTTTTGGCTTTTGGAAAATGTTGTTTGTGCTGTATTTAGACCACTCTACCAAGAAATTTGTTTTGCATGCACACGTATAAAAATTGCGGTTTTTATCTAACGCAATCATAGGTTTGAACGTTGTTTTCAATTTAGACTTGTTTATATTTTTTCGTTTGGGCTTGTATTATATTTGCCTTCGGGTTTATATGATCCGTTCATCCTATTTTGACTCTTCAAAATTTAAGAGTCAATCCCAAATTGAGGTAAATTATATGGCCTTCCAAATACCGTTTCGATTCCTAACATCACTGAAGAGACATTAATTGTCGAAATCCGGATATGGTGTACAAATTTTTGCACCTCATGTTTGCGGTATACCATCTTTTCCGCAAGTTTATTGTTTTCTGTTTGGTATTTAATTAATAAATTAAGATCCATTTTTACATCTGGTGATCCGTTTTTTTGGCAATCGCCATGGCAGTCAGCAGGGTTTAAGAACATCCGTTGTTCGACCTGCTAGTCAAATGCGTTTTGTTAAAATATCCTTTTTCACTCTTTTTGGCTTTTGGAAAATGTTGTTTGTGCTGTATTTAGACCACTCTACCAAGAAATTTGTTTTGCATGCACACGTATAAAAATTGCGGTTTTTATCCAACGCAATCATAGGTTTGAACGTTGTTTTCAATTTAGACTTGTTTATATTTTTTCGTTTGGGCTTGTATTATATTTGCCTTCGGGTTTATATGATCCGTTCATCCTATTTTGACTCTTCAAAATTTAAGAGTCAATCCCAAATTGAGGTAAATTATATGGCCTTCCAAATACCGTTTCGATTCCTAACATCACTGAAGAGACATTAATTGTCGAAATCCGGATATGGTGTACAAATTTTTGCACCTCATGTTTGCGGTATACCATCTTTTCCGCAAGTTTATTGTTTTCTGTTTGGTATTTAATTAATAAATTAAGATCCATTTTTACATCTGGTGATCCGTTTTTTTGGCAATCGCCATGGCAGTCAGCAGGGTTTAAGAACATCCGTTGTTCGACCTGCTAGTCAAATGCGTTTTGTTAAAATATACTTTTTCACTCTTTTTGGTCTTTTGGAAAATGTTGTTTGTGCTGTATTTAGACCACTCTACCAAGAAATTTGTTTTGCATGCACACATATAAAAATTGCGGTTTTTATCCAACGCAATCATAGGTTTGAACGTTGTTTTCAATTTAGACTTGTTTATATTTTTTCGTTTGGGCTTGTATTATATTTGCCTTCGGGTTTATATGATCCGTTCATCCTATTTTGACTCTTCAAAATTTAAGAGTCAATCCCAAATTGAGGTAAATTATATGGCCTTCCAAATACCGTTTCGATTCCTAACATCACTGAAGAGACATTAATTGTCGAAATCCGGATATGGTGTACAAATTTTTGCACCTCATGTTTGCGGTATACCATCTTTTCCGCAAGTTTATTGTTTTCTGTTTGGTATTTAATTAATAAATTAAGATCCATTTTTACATCTGGTGATCCGTTTTTTTGGCAATCGCCATGGCAGTCAGCAGGGTTTAAGAACATCCGTTGTTCGACCTGCTAGTCAAATGCGTTTTGTTAAAATATCCTTTTTCACTCTTTTTGGCTTTTGGAAAATGTTGTTTGTGCTGTATTTAGACCACTCTACCAAGAAATTTGTTTTGCATGCACACGTATAAAAATTGCGGTTTTTATCCAACGCAATCATAGGTTTGAACGTTGTTTTCAATTTAGACTTGTTTATATTTTTTCGTTTGGGCTTGTATTATATTTGCCTTCGGGTTTATATGATCCGTTCATCCTATTTTGACTCTTCAAAATTTAAGAGTCAATCCCAAATTGAGGTAAATTATATGGCCTTCCAAATACCGTTTCGATTCCTAACATCACTGAAGAGACATTAATTGTCGAAATCCGGATATGGTGTACAAATTTTTGCACCTCATGTTTGCGGTATACCATCTTTTCCGCAAGTTTATTGTTTTCTGTTTGGTATTTAATTAATAAATTAAGATCCATTTTTACATCTGGTGATCCGTTTTTTTGGCAATCGCCATGGCAGTCAGCAGGGTTTAAGAACATCCGTTGTTCGACCTGCTAGTCAAATGCGTTTTGTTAAAATATACTTTTTCACTCTTTTTGGTCTTTTGGAAAATGTTGTTTGTGCTGTATTTAGACCACTCTACCAAGAAATTTGTTTTGCATGCACACGTATAAAAATTGCAGTTTTTATCCAACGCAATCATAGGTTTGAACGTTGTTTTCAATTTAGACTTGTTTATATTTTTTCGTTTGGGCTTGTATTATATTTGCCTTCGGGTTTATATGATCCGTTCATCCTATTTTGACTCTTCAAAATTTAAGAGTCAATCCCAAATTGAGGTAAATTATATGGCCTTCCAAATACCGTTTCGATTCCTAACATCACTGAAGAGACATTAATTGTCGAAATCCGGATATGGTGTACAAATTTTTGCACCTCATGTTTGCGGTATACCATCTTTTCCGCAAGTTTATTGTTTTCTGTTTGGTATTTAATTAATAAATTAAGATCCATTTTTATATCTGGTGATCCGTGTTTTTGGCAATCGCCATGGCAGTCAGCAGGGTTTAAGAACATCCGTTGTTCGACCTGCTAGTCAAATGCGTTTTGTTAAAATATACTTTTTCACTCTTTTTGGTCTTTTGGAAAATGTTGTTTGTGCTGTATTTAGACCACTCTACCAAGAAATTTGTTTTGCATGCACACGTATAAAAATTGCGGTTTTTATCCAACGCAATCATAGGTTTGAACGTTGTTTTCAATTTAGACTTGTTTATATTTTTTCGTTTGGGCTTGTATTATATTTGCCTTCGGGTTTATATGATCCGTTCATCCTATTTTGACTCTTCAAAATTTAAGAGTCAATCCCAAATTGAGGTAAATTATATGGCCTTCCAAATACCGTTTTGATTCCTAACATCACTGAAGAGACATTAATTGTCGAAATCCGGATATGGTGTACAAATTTTTGCACCTCATGTTTGCGGTATACCATCTTTTCCGCAAGTTTATTGTTTTCTGTTTGGTATTTAATTAATAAATTAAGATCCATTTTTACATCTGGTGATCCGTTTTTTTGGCAATCGCCATGGCAGTCAGCAGGGTTTAAGAACATCCGTTGTTCGACCTGCAAGTCAAATGCGTTTTGTTAAAATATACTTTTTCACTCTTTTTGGTCTTTTGGAAAATGTTGTTTGTGCTGTATTTAGACCACTCTACCAAGAAATTTGTTTTGCATGCACACGTATAAAAATTGCGGTTTTTATCCAACGCAATCATAGGTTTGAACGTTGTTTTCAATTTAGACTTGTTTATATTTTTTCGTTTGGGCTTGTATTATATTTGCCTTCGGGTTTATATGATCCGTTCATCCTATTTTGACTCTTCAAAATTTAAGAGTCAATCCCAAATTGAGGTAAATTATATGGCCTTCCAAATACCGTTTCGATTCCTAACATCACTGAAGAGACATTAATTGTCGAAATCCGGATATGGTGTACAAATTTTTGCACCTCATGTTTGCGGTATACCATCTTTTCCGCAAGTTTATTGTTTTCTGTTTGGTATTTAATAAATAAATTAAGATCCATTTTTATATCTGGTGATCCGTGTTTTTGGCAATCGCCATGGCAGTCAGCAGGGTTTAAGAACATCCGTTGTTCGACCTGCTAGTCAAATGCGTTTTGTTAAAATATACTTTTTCACTCTGTTTGGTCTTTTGGAAAATGTTGTTTGTGCTGTATTTAGACCACTCTACCAAGAAATTTGTTTTGCATGCACACGTATAAAAATTGCGGTTTTTATCCAACTCAATCATAGGTTTGAACGTTGTTTTCAATTTAGACTTGTTTATATTTTTTCGTTTGGGCTTGTATTATATTTGCCTTCGGGTTTATATGATCCGTTCATCCTATTTTGACTCTTCAAAATTTAAGAGTCAATCCCAAATTGAGGTAAATTATATGGCCTTCCAAATACCGTTTCGATTCCTAACATCACTGAAGAGACATTAATTGTCGAAATCCGGATATGGTGTACAAATTTTTACACCTCATGTTTGCGGTATACCATCTTTTCCGTAAGTTTATTGTTTTCTGTTTGGTATTTAATTAATAAATTAAGATCCATTTTTACATCTGGTGATCCGTTTTTTTGACAATCGCCATGGCAGTCAGCAGGGTTTAAGAACATCCGTTGTTCGACCTGCTAGTCAAATGCGTTTTGTTAAAATATACTTTTTCACTCTTTTTGGTCTTTTGGAAAATGTTGTTTGTGCTGTATTTAGACCACTCTACCAAGAAATTTGTTTTGCATGCACACGTATAAAAATTGCGGTTTTTATCCAACGCAATCATAGGTTTGAACGTTGTTTTCAATTTAGACTTGTTTATATTTTTTCGTTTGGGCTTGTATTATATTTGCCTTCGGGTTTATATGATCCGTTCATCCTATTTTGACTCTTCAAAATTTAAGAGTCAATCCCAAATTGAGGTAAATTATATGGCCTTCCAAATATCGTTTCGATTCCTAACATCACTGAAGAGACATTAATTGTCGAAATCCGGATATGGTGTACAAATTTTTGCACCTCATGTTTGCGGTATACCATCTTTTCCGCAAGTTTATTGTTTTCTGTTTGGTATTTAATTAATAAATTAAGATCCATTTTTACATCTGGTGATCCGTTTTTTTGGCAATCGCCATGGCAGTCAGCAGGGTTTAAGAACATCCGTTGTTCGACCTGCTAGTCAAATGCGTTTTGTTAAAATATACTTTTTCACTCTTTTTGGTCTTTTGGAAAATGTTGTTTGTGCTGTATTTAGACCACTCTACCAAGAAATTTGTTTTGCATGCACACGTATAAAAATTGCGGTTTTTATCCAACGCAATCATAGGTTTGAACGTTGTTTTCAATTTAGACTTGTTTATATTTTTTCGTTTGGGCTTGTATTATATTTGCCTTCGGGTTTATATGATCCGTTCATCCTATTTTGACTCTTCAAAATTTAAGAGTCAATCCCAAATTGAGGTAAATTATATGGCCTTCCAAATACCGTTTCGATTCCTAACATCACTGAAGAGACATTAATTGTCGAAATTCGGATATGGTGTACAAATTTTTGCACCTCATGTTTGCGGTATACCATCTTTTCCGCAAGTTTATTGTTTTCTGTTTGGTATTTAATTAATAAATTAAGATCCATTTTTACATCTGGTGATCCGTTTTTTTGGCAATCGCCATGGCAGTCAGCAGGGTTTAAGAACATCCGTTGTTCGACCTGCTAGTCAAATGCGTTTTGTTAAAATATACTTTTTCACTCTTTTTGGTCTTTTGGAAAATGTTGTTTGTGCTGTATTTAGACCACTCTACCAAGAAATTTGTTTTGCATGCACACGTATAAAAATTGCGGTTTTTATCCAACGCAATCATAGGTTTGAACGTTGTTTTCAATTTAGACTTGTTTATATTTTTTCGTTTGGGCTTGTATTATATTTGCCTTCGGGTTTATATGATCCGTTCATCCTATTTTGACTCTTCAAAATTTAAGAGTCAATCCCAAATTGAGGTAAATTATATGGCCTTCCAAATACCGTTTCGATTCCTAACATCACTGAAGAGACATTAATTGTCGAAATCCGGATATGGTGTACAAATTTTTGCACCTCATGTTTGCGGTATACCATCTTTTCCGCAAGTTTATTGTTTTCTGTTTGGTATTTTATTAATAAATTAAGATCCATTTTTACATCTGGTGATCCGTTTTTTTGGCAATCGCCATGGCAGTCAGCAGGGTTTAAGAACATCCGTTGTTCGACCTGCTAGTCAAATGCGTTTTGTTAAAATATACTTTTTCACTCTTTTTGGTCTTTTGGAAAATGTTGTTTGTGCTGTATTTAGACCACTCTACCAAGAAATTTGTTTTGCATGCACACGTATAAAAATTGCGGTTTTTATCCAACGCAATCATAGGTTTGAACGTTGTTTTCAATTTAGACTTGTTTATATTTTTTCGTTTGGGCTTGTATTATATTTGCCTTCGGGTTTATATGATCCGTTCATCCTATTTTGACTCTTCAAAATTTAAGAGTCAATCCCAAATTGAGGTAAATTATATGGCCTTCCAAATACCGTTTCGATTCCTAACATCACTGAAGAGACATTAATTGTCGAAATCCGGATATGGTGTACAAATTTTTGCACCTCATGTTTGCGGTATACCATCTTTTCCGTAAGTTTATTGTTTTCTGTTTGGTATTTAATTAATAAATTAAGATCCATTTTTACATCTGGTGATCCGTTTTTTTGGCAATCGCCATGGCAGTCAGCAGGGTTTAAGAACATCCGTTGTTCGACCTGCTAGTCAAATGCGTTTTGTTAAAATATACTTTTTCACTCTTTTTGGTCTTTTGGAAAATGTTGTTTGTGCTGTATTTAGACCACTCTACCAAGAAATTTGTTTTGCATGCACACGTATAAAAATTGCGGTTTTTATCCAACGCAATCATAGGTTTGAACGTTGTTTTCAATTTAGACTTGTTTATATTTTTTCGTTTGGGCTTGTATTATATTTGCCTTCGGGTTTATATGATCCGTTCATCCTATTTTGACTCTTCAAAATTTAAGAGTCAATCCCAAATTGAGGTAAATTATATGGCCTTCCAAATACCGTTTCGATTCCTAACATCACTGAAGAGACATTAATTGTCGAAATCCGGATATGGTGTACAAATTTTTGCACCTCATGTTTGCGGTATACCATCTTTTCCGCAAGTTTATTGTTTTCTGTTTGGTATTTAATTAATAAATTAAGATCCATTTTTATATCTGGTGATCCGTTTTTTTGGCAATCGCCATGGCAGTCAGCAGGGTTTAAGAACATCCGTTGTTCGACCTGCTAGTCAAATGCATTTTGTTAAAATATACTTTTTCACTTTTTTTGGTCTTTTGGAAAATGTTGTTTGTGCTGTATTTAGACCACTCTACCAAGAAATTTGTTTTGCATGCACACGTATAAAAATTGCGGTTTTTATCCAACGCAATCATAGGTTTGAACGTTGTTTTCAATTTAGACTTGTTTATATTTTTTCGTTTGGGCTTGTATTATATTTGCCTTCGGGTTTATATGATCCGTTCATCCTATTTTGACTCTTCAAAATTTAAGAGTCAATCCCAAATTGAGGTAAATTATATGGCCTTCCGTTTTTTTTGGCAATCGCCATGGCAGTCAGCAGGGTTTAAGAACATCCGTTGTTCGACCTGCTAGTCAAATGCGTTTTGTTAAAATATACTTTTTCACTCTTTTTGGTCTTTTGGAAAATGTTGTTTGTGCTGTATTTAGACCACTCTACCAAGAAATTTGTTTTGCATGCACACGTATAAAAATTGCGGTTTTTATCCAACGCAATCATAGGTTTGAACGTTGTTTTCAATTTAGACTGGTTTATATTTTTTCGTTTGGGCTTGTATTATATTTGCCTTCGGGTTTATATGATCCGTTCATCCTATTTTGACTCTTCAAAATTTAACAGTCAATCCCAAATTGAGGTAAATTATATGGCCTTCCAAATACCGTTTCGATTCCTAACATCACTGAAGAGACATTAATTGTCGAAATCCGGATATGGTGTACACATTTTTGCACCTCATGTTTGCGGTATACCATCTTTTCCGTAAGTTTATTGTTTTCTGTTTGGTATTTAATTAATAAATTAAGATCCATTTTTACATCTGGTGATCCGTTTTTTTGGCAATCGCCATGGCAGTCAGCAGGGTTTAAGAACATCCGTTGTTCGACCTGCTAGTCAAATGCGTTTTGTTAAAATATACTTTTTCACTCTTTTTGGTCTTTTGGAAAATGTTGTTTGTGCTGTATTTAGACCACTCTACCAAGAAATTTGTTTTGCATGCACACGTATAAAAATTGCGGTTTTTATCCAACGCAATCATAGGTTTGAACGTTGTTTTCAATTTAGACTTGTTTATATTTTTTCGTTTGGGCTTGTATTATATTTGCCTTCGGGTTTATATGATCCGTTCATCCTATTTTGACTCTTCAAAATTTAAGAGTCAATCCCAAATTGAGGTAAATTATATGGCCTTCCAAATACCGTTTCGATTCCTAACATCACTGAAGAGACATTAATTGTCGAAATCCGGATATGGTGTACAAATTTTTGCACCTCATGTTTGCTGTATACCATCTTTTCCGCAAGTTTATTGTTTTCTGTTTGGTATTTAATTAATAAATTAAGATCCATTTTTACATCTGGTGATCCGTTTTTTTGGCAATCGCCATGGCAGTCAACAGGGTTTAAGAACATCCGTTGTTCGACCTGCTAGTCAAATGCGTTTTGTTAAAATATACTTTATCACTCTTTTTGGTCTTTTGGAAAATGTTGTTTGTGCTGTATTTAGACCACTCTACCAAGAAATTTGTTTTGCATGCACACGTATAAAAATTGCGGTTTTTATCCAACGCAATCATAGGTTTGAACGTTGTTTTCAATTTAGACTTGTTTATATATATATATATATATATATATATATAAGTACGTTTAAACAAGTGACAACTCTACGACAGATCCATGCATTTGATCACCAGTGAAGGTGATACACGGCTGAAATATATATATATAAACCCCAACAAGTGTACAAAACAACACCAATATTAAAAAAAAGGAAACATTAAAATATAGTTGTAATGCAAAAAGTACAGAATGATAACTGATGTATCTATAAAATGAGAAACAACACATGCAAATTTAAAATTGACTCCTCTCCGTCCGATAAGAAGACTCTTAAATTACACTAATTTTAGAATTTGAATCTTAACACAAAATTCACGAAAAATTATGAAAGACAATGAAAATTCTATTTCGATAACAAAAAACATACAATACCTTACCTTTTGATTATAATCTAAAATTAATAAGATCAACGCACACACCATATCCTGCAATCATGTCAGGTTATGATTATTTGATCCCACTGAACACACGCACGATTTTTCTAAACGAGTAAAATATGTATCAATTAGACTGTATAAGGATGGAAAAGTATAAGTCAAATCCGGAAGAAAAAAATAATTACAAATTTAGTTGATTTGCCTTATATATATTTGTATTAAAGTATGTAATTAACTAACAATTATAAAGTAAAACTTATCTTCAAGACACCCTGTTCTTAAACATGTTTATAGTGTGTTTTTCTATGTTGTGATATTATACTATTGTTTCAGAAAAGGGAGAAGGTTTGATAACATTAAAACGTTTGATCCCGCTGCAAATGTTTGCACCTGTCCTAAGTCAGGAATCTGATTATAGTAGTTGTCATCTGTTTATGTAGTTCATACGTGTTTCTCGTTTCTCGTTTTTATATAGATTAGACCGTTGGTTTTTCCGTTTGAATGGTTTTACACTAGTAATTTTGGGGGCCCTTTATAGCTTGCTGTTCGGTGTGAGCCAATGCTCCGTGTTGAAGGCCGTACCTTGACCTATAATGGTTTACTTTTATAAACTGTAACGTGGATGGAGAGTTGTCTCATTGGCACTCATACCACATCTTCCTATATCTATATAAAGATATTAATATATCAGAGTACCTTATTTGTGAAAGCTGTTGCAATAAGGTAATTGTAACAGCTTTAAACTAATAAATCAATAATCATATTATCATTGTCAAAAAAAAAGAAGCTTATTTTCTTGATTGACAACATATTTGTTATGTTTGGAGGACGTGTTTTTCAACAAACAATCGGCAAATTCATGGTAACCAACTGTGCCTCTCTTCTTGTCGACTTGTTCCTTTATTCATATCAGGCTGACTTCATACAGGAACTTCTTAGAAAGCAGTATCCTTTAACTTTACTTTCCGCTTTAAATTTATAGATGATATTCTCTCACTCAAGTTTGGTGACTATGTTGAACGCATCTTTCCCGTCGAACTTGGGATAAAGGATACAACAGATACAGTTAAGTCTGCCTCATATCTTGACTTACGTCTAGAAATTGACAATGAGTGTAGATTGAAAACAAAACTTTACGACAAAAGAGATGATTTCAGCTTCCCAATTGTGAACTTTCCATTCCTATGTAGCAACATTCCAGTAGCGCCTGCATATGTATTATATATCTCCCAGTTGAAACGATATGCCAGGGCTTGTATTTCCTATAATGCTTTCCTTAATAGAGGGTTGCTGCTCACAAGAAAGCTATTAAACCAAGAGTTCCAAGTGGTGAAGTTGAAATCATCTCTTCATATGTATTACAAACGCCATCACGAGTTGGTTGACCGTTATAGAATATCCGTATCAAAGATGATTGCGGATATGTTCCTAATGTTGTAGCTACAATCCCGGCACCTTTTCCCGAATGTGACCTACCGAATTAGACTTATTATCGGATTTGTACTAACATGAGCAACACGACGGGTGCAACATGTAGAGCAGGATCTGTCTACCCTTCCGGAGCACCTGAGATCAACCCCAGTTTTTGGTGGGGTTCGTGTTGCTCAGTCTTTAGTTTTCTATGTTGTGTTTTGTGTACTATTGTTTTGTCTGCTGGTCTTTTCCTTTTTTAGCCATGGCGTTGTCAGTTTATTTTCGACTTATGAGTTTGAATGTCCCTCTAGTATCTTTCGCCTCTCCTCTACAAAATCCTTAACTTTGAATTTTTTCTCTGGTATCTTTTGCCTCTCCTCTACAAAATCCTTAACAAAAAGAGTTTTAACAGTTGCTCGATGATGATCACAATATAGGCCAAAAACATGATGAAGTCCATTTTGGAACAACGAGAGTACCCTTTCCTTTA